TATTTTATGAAGAATCAGCATCCACCTACATACTTAAATTTTGGTGCCAGAATTATGTGCATGACTTTACCTTTCTCTCCCCATTATCTAAAGCAGCATTTACCCACTGCATGCCACCCTTTTTTCTCATCATAGTTATATGTACCCATGATGGGCTCATGAAAAATATCATTACTAGTGATGGTTGCAGAAATTAAAAATCAAATCTTTAAACTTAAATCTACTTTTTGAAGCATTTAAAAGATAACCTTAGCAGCCTAATAATAAAATAGCACCCATTAAATTATTCATATAGGAAAAAAATAAAAGGCCCTGTGATATGCAAACAATACAAACTATTGATTCCATTAATGAAAATACTTTTATGAAATGCATAGAAGACTAGATTTTTTTAACACTTGGAATATTTATATTCTAAAGTATTTTTTTAAATAGAGAGATAAATCAATGCATTCAGATTGTGCTACCAGTGAACCAGAAAATAGGATGGTACTTCCAATTCATTTTGTGCATTATTGTGTGGATGATTAAAGCTTTTGAAACAAAATTAAAGTGCTTAATAAGCAAAGGTTCATTTTTTAGTTTATAGATAAATGACCAGATACTTATTTTTTTATTTACATTTTAACTGAAAATTTGTTCATTCATAATAAAAAGATGAGTCATAATAAATTATGTATATAACTATATTTTTAAACTATTTTATGTTTTGAAATGTTATTTGTCCTAGCAATAACATAAGACATTATCTTCAAGTTCACTTCCATTTTAAATAAATTTGTGTCTATGAAGGAGAAGAGAGTAAGAGAAGGAGAGAGAAAAAGAAAGATGGAGGTGGGAATAAATATTTTAAGGGAGGCATGGGAAAAGGGAAAAGCAAGGTAGAAATGAAGAACATTGTAATTTAAAATATCCAGTTTTACTTTCTTTCCCCAAAATCCAATGTTAAAACAAGTTCAAGAAGAATTTGTAGACAAAGTGGAGAATATCTCTATTCATTTTAGTTTCATAGAAAACTATGTGTTCCTACTTAAAAATCTCAGTCTACAATCTATTTTGAATGGCCTGAGGTAAACTTTATACCAACCTGACTGTGGTTTCTATTTTACTGCCAAGCCTTTCACAGTTAACAACATAGTTAAGATTTGTAAAATGATAAGCCTTTCTTGGGCAGGTCTATCTGCTGATAGTACCTAGTCAGTCACAGAAGAGATCCATCAAAAATCTGTGATTCACAAGTCCTCTTTTAAGTATTCTAAGCTTTTATTCATTGGATCTTTTTAGCTAGAAATATTTGCAACTACAGTGATTAACTCAAATGATGTGTCTTGCAGCGATCCCTTTTCCTTCTCCATTGCACACATCCCAGTCCAGGTGCTCTATATACAGAAGTATAATACTAAAAAAGCTGGTGCTGATGTTCTCTGTCTTCACCCACACACATTACCCTGCTCTCCACTGCCAGAGCAGGCCAGATCTGTTCTTTTCTCAAAGAAATCCAATGCTTGCTGGATATTACCCAAATTTCTAATGTTCACGTTCTTCACTCCTCTCTTCCCTTCAGCAGTCTCTTACTCCAACTCTCCATTCAAAACATGCAGATTTACTTGATAGAACTTCAAATATGCTTGCTATGATCTCAGTGCTGTCACATAGCTCAGCATCCCCTTGTCTGAAATGCCCCATCTCTATCCACCTCTTTTCTACTTGCCTCTTTGCTTACTAAAATGCCAATGAGACCAATATTTAATGTTAGCCTTTTCACCAAACTGTACTAAATTGGTCCAAAGAATGAGCAACCCTGTGCTCAGCTTGTGTGGCTCAGTTGGTTGAGCATCATCCATGCACCAGGAGGTCATAGTGAAATTCCTGGTCAGGGCAATGCCTGGGTTGGGGCTTAATCCCCAGTAGAGGGCATGCAGGAGGCAGCTGATCAATGTTTCTCTCTCTCTGATGTTTCGAATTCTCCCTTTCACTTCCTCTCTCTGAAATCTAATAAAAAATACATGAATAAATAACCTCCTGCCCCTTCAGCACTGAAAGTCAGCCTTCTCTTATCAATTAGTCATGTGCTCCTTTTCTTCTTAGATTCTAAGCTCCTGAAGAGAAAACATAATTTATTCTTCTCTGCATACATTGATGTATCATATACTGTGCCTCTCACATAATAGGGGCTCAATCAATATTGAATGAATGAATAATCAATGAGAAGTGCAAGAGATTCTGGTTTCATTCTGAAGAAACCTTGCTCAATGCCTTAAGTATCTTGCTTATGCCTCTATAAAAAAGGTATGGGTTTATACAGGCAACTTCCATGCTACTACATTTTATATAGAGAAAGAAGTTCCTTTACATTAGTATTTTCCTCAATGAAGTGAGAGATCATTTAAGATACCATTTTTTTTTGCTTATTTTGAGAATCTTTTCAAAGGAAAATGAGACTTAGAGCAATAAAAATAATATAGCCATCTATTTGTATTTGTTTGTTTGTTTGTTTTTCTACCAACACAGTTAAGGAAAATCTTACTTTATATTGGCTGAATCACCTTCATGAGTTTTGAAAATAAAATAATTTGAGAAATTGAAATTGAGCTTAAAAAGGAAGTCTGTAAATTTTACTTATACATAATCTTTTTTTCCCCCATAAAATTTAAGTTTTAAAAGTAAAGCCTTTACTTTTCTCCCAAAACTAGCTTTTCTGCTTGAGTTTGCAGTTTTTTGTTCATAGCATCATTTCTCTCCCTTGGTTTGAGGACGCACAATCACCAAAACTCTCAATACTTGTAACACAACCACTGCAATGTTTTTTGAATTATATGTACTAACTCTGGTGTTGCTTTATACTTTAAGGCAGCAATTTTTCAACTGATGTGCCACCAGAATTTTTAAAACATGCAATACCTGTCTATTTAGTCAGGGGCACTGATTTCTTTTCCCTTAAATTGTCAAAAGAACAACAACAAAACAAAAACAAACAAACAAACAACAAAAAAAACGGTCAACACAGCAGTAGACGTCTGGTGTGAATGAATCAAAATTATGTGTTTTTTGTTTGTTTGTTTTTTTTTTGTCAGATTGGCAAAATATCTAATATATTTTTTGGTGTACTGCAGAGTTTTAGTAATTAATTTGTGTGGCCCATAAGATGAAAAATGTTGAAAATCACTGCTTTAAGGCATTACACAAATGTCTAGGTTTATCTAGAGTTGATTATTTACCTAATTAAAGACTAATGACTCAAATTGATCCTTGAGATATTATGAAAACTGTCCCAACCTTTTTTTCATCTTAATGGGCCACACTTTTTATAAACATACCCCCAGTTTCACTCACACTCAATTATTTACAATAAAAATTATACTGCATCTATTTCCTCTTCTGAATATTTACTCAAGATAATCTTCCTAGGAATCCATTATTTCTCTGCACAACCATAGCAACTGTGGTACCCTTTAAGAAATACCTTAAACAATATTTTTTTCACAAAGTCTTAAAGAATTCTCAAAGATGTTTGAGCTTTATCAATTCTGAAAACCTTTATTTCATCATGTGTATTTTCCCAGGAACTCCCCATAGCCAGCTTCCCCTTGTCTAACAGTCCACTAGGCTGGACATTCCTAAGGCAGAGTAGCTATATTTACCATTGCTGAGCAGATTCTTAAAAACTTTTAAAAAATATATTTTTTGAGAGAGAGTTAGAAACATCGATGAGAGGAGAAACATCAATCAGCTGCCTCCTGCACACCCTCTATTGGAGATGTGCCCGCAATCAAGGTACGTGCCCTTGACCAGAATCAAACCTGGGATCTTTCAGTCCGCAGGCTGAAGCTCTATCCACTGAGCCAAACTGGTTTCGGCTCAAAAACTTTTATTTAATCATTAAGATTTCTGATTATCTACCTTCTTCATAACCCTAAAGATCTCCTAAGTCTTATATTAAAATATGCGAAAAGTAATCAATGTGGTTCACATCCAAAAGAGAAATAATGAAACGCTGCGACAGAGGATTCTGTCCTATGGTGCTTTAGGCATGGATGCTCTACAGTCTTATCATCACATCTACCGATTTTTTTTTTCATTGCTTCTTTGCTTACTCTTTCGTTTTTATGTTTTTCTCTCATTCTTCTACTTTCTCTATGACTCTGTGTTAGGTCTGCAGGGATATTCTTTGGCATTTTTGCTTATCTCTACCAGTAACATTTAAAGATTAAAATATTTCTGACTTTTGTGCTATACTATAAAGAATGATAATTGCCTCTCTAGGGTATTGCTAATCTTTAAACTAATCTCCAAAGTTTGTGGAAAGAATTAAAACTAAAAGGATTCAAACTGAATGTCAGTGTTTATTTTTAAAGCTCTCAGATTAGTTGTCAGTCACCCTGGCTGGGTACTCAATGCTGGGCTTTTCAATTCCCTGTCAGGGCACATACGTAGGTTGTGCATTTGATTCCTGGTCAGAGAGGCAACCGATCTATGTTTCTCCCGCACATCAATGTTTCTCTCTTTCTCTCTCTCCCTTCCTCTCTCTCTAAAATCAATAAAAATATCCAGCTAGGATTAAACACACATGCACACATGCACAAAACATTCTCTTCTCAACACAGGTGACATTAAAGGAAAGAAACAAATAATTAGAGCTAATAATTAGCTATATACATTAAAAGAAATTGTTAAAAAATGCCTCAACAATTTCTTTAAGCATCTTTTCTTCCTACTTTAGTCCCATTAGTGAAGTCTTACCATACTATCAAAACAAATTAAAACTCAGGTGGAAAGCAAAGATGATGAATGTAAGCTGAAAGTTATGACTTTTTTTTTTCTGAAAAGTTTTTCCAATAACTATACTAGTCTTTCTTAGGTTTTATTTATACCCATGACTTTGTGATAGAAGACAATGGTTTTGCCAATAAATGTCCCTCTTGAAATATGGAATGAATTAAAAATAATAACTGTAGTAAAACTGTAGATTATTTAGGGCGAATGGGTAGAAAACCACTTACCCCCCGTTGCCACAGTGATTTCACGTAGAAAATGGCCATAAAATGGAAAATCGAAAGACAGATTCACTCTCTGCAAGGAACAACACCAGAAAAGAAAATCAATAATGCACATAATAGTAAATGCAATATGAAAAGCCTTCCACTTAAAAAACTGATGTTTCTTTTCTACTTTACAACGCTATTATTGTAGTTGACTTTTAAAACCAGAATATCAGGTGATAAGAAAGGACTTTTTTTTTCCTGGTAATTACATGTTTGAAATGTGTGAAAAGAATAAAGTTGGGCTGTTATTGTCTGTTGGTCTGTTCTTTGCGTACAAAGGAAATCTCAAAGTTTCAACTCTCAATCAAGCTATTCTCTCTTAACATCCCCGGTCCAGTGCCTTTTACATGTCCACTGCAAATCAGTTCATGTATAGTGATAAACAATTTATTCTGGGGTCCTTTTTAGTTACATTAGTCATCTCCAAAAGAGTCTTCATTATCTATCAAGTTATATTGAAAAAACAATCAAAAGATTTTCATTCACATAATTATGCATTCAATTTGATTTCTATTCATCTCATAATGCAAGGCAGTCTCATGGAACAAGATATCTGCACCTACAGTCTGAGAGCTGCAGACAATTTTACTTTTTTAGATATAATGAACTCTCCAGGTTCAGCATATTATGTCTATTTTTGAAAATAGATGAAGAATAATAAATGCTGGTTATACTTTTCCTTTGTATAGAGAAAATTTGGGGAGACTTAGGAAAAAAGTTTATAAATTTTACCTCTCTGTTTTCTAAAAAGGGGTCTGAAGCTTGAGTTATATATACATACAAATACACATATACTTTAATATTATATATTTTATTTATATATTTCATACTTTATATATAATAAGTACATATAATATATCATATATAATAACAAAAACAAAATACAACACAACACAGCAAAACAAAGAAACAAAAAAAACCTGATATTGTTTGAATGCTTGAAATAATATAAACTAGATGTATTATTACAAAAAAAAACATAAAAGGAAAGTAGTAAATTATAACAAAAATTATCCACTGTTATAAAAACATCCAGAGGGAAATTAATTAATTGCTTTAAAGCCTAAAAGCATTACCAACTATCTATAGCAAAAGGCTATTGTGTTAAAACTCAACAGTTTCTATATTATCTCTCCCAATGCACAAATTAAAAAAAATAGAGAAGTATATCTAGATTTAATTTAGCTCCTTCCAATTTCGCAAATGATTGCTTTTTTAAATCCATCAGAGATTTTTAATAACTTATTTGGCATGAAATTAATCATTCAAAATTTACAGTGACTTTCAATTACGTTTTCTTTCCTTTTTAATGATTGCTGCATCTTCAGAACGGGTTTATTATCATTTTTATTTTTTGCTGACTAACATAACAAGAAAATTCATTTTCACTGCAGTAACTGAAATGAGTAGTTACCAATAACTCTAAAATAAAAGCTTCAATAGCAAAATCGTATGTCTCAAAGAAGATGTCAGCAATAATTTCATAAAGGCATTTGCTACACTATCTTGTTTTCCAGCATTCTAATTTATTACAATGATCATGAGCAAATTAGTAAAATTGCAGCTCTTTGTCCTTCTCACTTCCACAAGAGTTTGGTTTAGACATATAATCAGTAATAATCTCTATCAATTAGAACCAAGGATGAACCAAAGTTTCTTTACCACCACAGATATTTCAATACTTTTAGAACAAGGTTGAGACATATAAATCTATAAGGTAAAGACTTTTGTAAAAAGCAAATAAGTCCTCAAAGAAAATTTGAAGAACAACATCAATGACTGAAATGCTCCCCTGTTTAATGGTCAGTTCGCCTTAGTTATCACCATGCCTGCTTCACACTGATAAGAAACAGCCACGACAATTTAGAAAAATGCTAGCCTCTTAATAGTTGTGAAATCTGCCCATGTCTCTCCAGATACTACCTACTCCTTCCCCAACTGCTGGTCACTATTATTGTAATAACTTCATCACAGGTGTCTTGATTTTATTTCTCCTACAATTCTTTCTCCATAATATCTAGTCTATCACTCCCCTACTTCATATCTTTCAGTCTAGAATCCCACTGTCTCCGCATTAATGCCAAAGTAGTGAAAATGATTCTACAGCCCACCACTACCTGGGCTGCTACCTCACAGTTTCCCCTTCATTGCTCTGGCCAGGCATCCAGGACATCTTTTAGTTCCTTGAAACTTCCACCCTTAACTATTGGCTCTGGTACAGTTTGTTATTTTAGAGTTATTGGTAGAAGACATAATGTGTCTTCTAACTGTTATGATCTCTCAGTCAATCGTGGCTTCCATTTCTTTAAGCTTTGTTTACCCCAATACCAATCCTACAGAATGACTTAGGGGTGGATCATTCTTTGGAAGCATTTTCTAAAGAAAGCGGGAAACATGAGAAGAGAGAAACCAGTCATGGGTGCAATTGTTGGCTGTGCTACCACTACAACCAGGTCTCCCATTGGAGACTCTGAGAAACAGTAGGAAAACGTTTTATGCCTTGGGATCTTTCATTGGTGGTTAGGATTGGGACACTATCCATCATCTCCTATTACCTATTGATTGATGGTTGCTCCTGGGGGTGGTTAACTCCCCATCTTCCCCAGACTACACTTATTTGTACTCTCAGCCAGAAGCAGAGATATAGCATTTGGGCTGGAAAGTTACTGGTAGGTTAGAAACTGTACCCACAATTTTAGGTCAACTCAGCAGGCAGAGGGATATGGGGCAAAGCATCAAAGGGAACAGCTAAGTGTCACATCCTCAGAGAGTCATACCTTCATTTCTTGGCTCACATTATACCTTTCTACTTTATCTCATCTAGCATTTTCTACATATTCGTTCATATATAAAGCAACTGCATAAGGTTCATATTATGACTGCTTTGAAGTAAAACTAACTCAGCAAGGAGTAGTTAAGCATGGCCCAAGTAGAAAACTAGAATCTAAATCCAGGTTTGATTGACAATGAAGGAAATGAGCTTCATTACTTAGATATTTAAAATAAAGACAAATTTTTGAAAATTATTATTCCTCTTTAAAAAACACATATCCACCCATATATACACACAAAAATAATAGCACTAAAGCATAAACAAAAACAAACACTAGAATCCCATGAAGTACTTTGAAGCAAAATGATGACATATTTAACATAATTACCTTTGGGTAATTGGATAATTCTGTCTCTGTATAGTATATAAAACAGGCATTGGGAGAGCTGAAGGAAGTTTTATTCATTCAATCATGCAGTCAACAATAAATTATTCAACAACCTTATGATATATATATATATATATATATATATATATATATATATATATATATCAGACACTGAGTCAAGGATTAAAGAAAAAACAGTAAATAAGTCCCACCCAGTTCCTTCCTCCAAGGAGTTCATCAAATGATAAGGGATCATAGAAGGATAAAGGATAGGAGAAGGCAGAGTAAGGACCAGGAAAGACACCAAACCCAGAGAAGATGGCACTGAGACTGACTCTTTAAAAGAAACTACAGTTAGAAGGGACCCAAAGGTATGAATCAAACTACAGGTTGTCCCAAAAACATGTATACACACTTTAACAGCTGATAGCTCAATTTTGAAAATGAAATGCATTTTAATAAATACTTGCCTTTATAATTATTCAAAATTTGTGTATATTTTTTGGGACATCCTACATGTGTAGAAAATAAAATTGGAAGGATGCCATGATTCATTAGATGTAACAATCGAGAGTGAGAGAAGACAGTCTAGATTAAAGGACAGGTTTCTAGCTGAGTGACCAAGTGGATTACAGTGACACAAATTGCGATGGTGAATACAGGAAAAAGAGTTATTTATTCTGGTTAGGTGTGAGAAGGCCTGCTGTGTCATTAATTAGTGAGTGTTCCATTAACTGTAACCAGAAAGACCACTAGAATCCTGGACACTGTCACAAAAAAGCCATTATCAACAAAAAGAAACATAACATTGAAATTATGGTATCATTACTATACCTTGAACATTATCCTATCTTGGATATCATCCCTTAAGAAATACCTAATGTAAAAGGGAAAATGATTCAGGAAAACTATCATGTAAAGACACAGTCAATTAATTAATAATCTGGTCAAAATACCAAATAAAAATTCAGAAATGAAACTTTCAAAAGCATGAGCGACATAGATGCGATCAACTGACTTTACTGCTTCCTTGCACTCTGGAAAGGAGTTACTACTTGAAAGATGAGGTATGATATTTTTTAGACAAGCAAATAAAGCATCCTTCTTCGTGTGGAGAAGGATAAATCTATGAAATTTCCTTTGAAGAGTTTGATGAAATAGATTCATAGATCCCATGTGGTTTGGTGTAAACGTATGGCAGGGATAGCCAATAAATGACTGTGGTCTTAAAAAACACATCATCCTCTCTCCACAACATGGTCCATAACATTATCATCAGTAGACATTTGGTCCTGTCCAAAATGTCCATGAAGTATTTGGCCCATGCCAAGAAATCCTTGATATTTTGTCCTATCTAAAATGTCCAAGAATACGCCCTGGGTTCAAATAGTCTATAATATGCATTTATACCTTTGGTTTATAGGATTAACTCATAAAATATACTATCGTGTTTTATCTGTCCAATAATTGTGTTGTGGCTGCATTGGCAATAATAGCCTTCTTGCCTCAGTAGTTTGGCTAGTAATGAATGGCACAAGAGGTTATGTAAATGGGTTGGTGTAGACCAAATGTGTCCAGGGATGTTTTAGACCAAATATCAAGGATCTTTTGTCATGGGCCAGATATCTCAATGAATGTTTTGGGGACATTTTGGACAGGACCAAATACCAGACAAGGGAAAGTACTGTTGGAGACTGACTATTAGACTTAATCAGGGTCATACTCCTAGATTTCTTAGTGTATCCACACCTTTTATTGCCTCTTTAACATAATTTTCTTATGTCTATTGCTATTTGTCTTCTCACTAATTATCTTTTAAAATTCTTTTTAATGACACAATAATTTTAATCAGACATACACACTATTC